TTTTTTTTTTTGGTTTTCCAATTTCCAACACTTTGATCTTTTTAAGAGATATTAACCCAACAAGATCATTGTTGATCATTTGACCAACCTTAGAATTGTGAAACTAAATAATATAAATCTGATTTACTATGTGTATCTATACAAAATTTGGCAAGCTTTTAGTAAGTGTTACAAATCTGTTTTACACAGAAAACCAGAATTTTTAAATACTGTATTCCTGCTAAAAAATTTGTGTATGAATTTCACTTATACTAAATTAGTATAAGTGAAAGATGGTTTTGTGTTAAGAACAGAAATACATCTTCCCATCTTACAGTTTTTATATTTCTTCTCTTTTTTTTTCTACCTAGCATTAACTGTAAAGAAATCAGTGTACAGTGAAAGGAAAAATTGAAAAACATAAAATAAAATTAATAATTCTGTTGGTTTTTTTCCTTTGCACTGACTGCAGTATTATTCATAAAGTTCCAAGCTACTCATCTTAGCAGTTTCAACTCTTAACCTTCTTCACATCTGTTTTCCTTTTAATTTCATGCCTTAAATTTGTATTACTGGAGCAGTGATCCTTGTGTAAAAAGCATTAAATTACAGCGGAAGCCTGTTAGCTGTTTCCCGTTGCAAACAGCACCCGATCTTATGTCATAATTTGCAACAGCACTCCAGCTAGTGTAATTTTAGACATGTTATTGAGGTTTTGCTAAGCTAAGCTAAGATGTGTATAACTTATATCTTAGCTAGTTTTGTTAAGAAAAAGTATATAACAATATAAACTATATATATAAGATAAGGATATTTAATACTCACCATGTATTCAAACTGATTGCATTTGAGTAAAAATATTTGAGGTTCATCCCTAAGTCTTGTTGAGTCTCACAAATTTGGGTGTCCCAAAAGAAATTCATGTAGCCTTCAAATTTGCATTGTAGAACATAAAAACTGTATCAAGCACTAGAATAGCCTGTCTCAAAACCTCTATAACTTATCCAGCTTTCTGAGTAATATAAACCTCCAGTAAGAGGCTATGTCCTCAGAGTGAAATTAAATATCAATATAGCTAATTAAATATATTGTTATTATGTAAGGTATAAATAGGTTAAGAAAAAGTTCCATTACTGCTCAATCTGATCAACACAAACCAAACAGTTCTCCGTGATGGAGGATAATGGTGGGAAAACAGAATGCATAAGCTTAAAATTTACATAGAAAAGAATCTGCTTTTTCTACTGTTTATAAACTTGCTCATCAACTATGTACAATTAATTAGCCAACAGTGTTGAAAGCCAATGAGAGATGGTATGGGCTTATCTAGTGGGTTTCACAAATTTATTGATAGCTAGTAAAGAAGATAGGAGGTTCAAATTTTAGATTCTTGTTTGTAATTATGTATAGTTTGTATTTCCAATTGGTAGTAAACTGCAGCAGCCTATTTTAGAAGTTTAAAAATTCAAAAGTGAAAACATTGGAGATCAGACACACATTACATAACACAGAAGTTAAGACTTATTAACACTAGTTATCCAGTAGAATTGGGAATTGAAAATACTTCAACTTCTGAAGTAGAAGCATACTATGTAGATGTAGAAATGAAAAGCTAAGGATATTAATTTAAATGTTTTTGATTAAAAAAAAATTATTTTCCATTATACAGCTTAATAGTAATATGCCCCAATCTTCTGTTATAAGTATTATAACTTCACAATTGCTATAAAACTTCATTTTTTATTACTAATGTTGAAATACTAATACAAAAATTAATATTTAATGGATATAATAAAGAAACATTAAACAAAATTATTAAAATATTTTGTGGTAAATTTCCAATAAATATTTCTAGTTTTTAATAAGATCGTTTAAACATCTTGGAACTATTTCCATGCATGTATTAACACCACTATCTTACATTAATATAAAAGCTCTTATAAAGGGTAGATAAAGTTTGAAAATTAGTAGTTATAGTAGACTGTAGACTATGTGTAATACTTAATGGGTGGAGGTTGTGAGTTATACTAGCTTAGATAACTTGGTTGGGCTTTTATACTATTATAATGTGTTTACTGTAGTACTAATTAATTTTGTTTTTTACTATAATTGGGGCTGGAATGCCAATGTCAGGAGGTAAAGTTCTCTTACCTCTAGTCGTAGAACCTTATTTATTTTCATTTCTTTGAGAGCAGCCACCATCCCACAACTCTCAGTGGGCATTGAAAGTTGATATAGAAGTCACCCAAATCTTGCTCTCCAAACTTATTTTTGTTTTTCTTACTTATTTTATGTTAATTCTTTAACATATGAAACTAGTGAGCTTACATTTTGATCAGCAGAAAAGGTTCTTATGTTTATATCACCACTTGATTGGGTGTAAATGCTTATCCTTACTTTATTGAAGAATTTACTGTAGCTCATCCTCTATACTCTTTATTTCTATAATACTGGACTTGGTCCTTCTAACATTAGGTCTCTAAAGAACTATAATTGTACTACAGAGGCTGTATTTACTAGAGATGCACGGGTACCCGGCCAGATAATAGGCCCCGGCCGGTTATAGGGTTACTCGGCTCCCGCTGAGTGTTGAAGTTAAAAACAGCTGAATCTGGGTAAATGAAAAGCCCTAGTCTTTGTTGCAACTTAAAAGGTACTGAAAGTTAAAGTCAATAATTGGTTTAGTTAAAATAACTTGTTGGGTATTCAGAGAACAATAGAGGTTAATAACAGGAATGGCTTCAGAAGTGAATTTTTGGGAAAGGTGGGGGTTTTGAGAACAATAGGGGTTAGGGTTTGAGAAGTTGGGTCTAGACATTAATCAGAATAATGATTCTAAAACGTGTCAAAATGACTGGTTATGTGTTTACTTTCACTGGCCTCACTCTTGGAAGTCAAATGATGCTCGATTTCACACAATGGCCAGGATAGTATGGCATTATCTTTCTGCACCTCTGACAAGTGCAGACAGCAAATGGGCTATTAGTGCCACTGGCAACATTATCACACATGAAAGGTCAAGGCTTTTACCCAAAAATGCAGAAATGCTACTGTTCCTCAAGTACAATTTAAACAAATTCCAAAAATACAGGCATTCAGCGAACTGGTGTGCACATTTTTGTTAGTTAATTTTGAAAGTTGAAAGTGAAACTGGAGTGTTCTGTTGGTGGTTATTCGGTTAAATGTAATAAACGTCAATTTTGTTTCTAATTTTTATGTATGTTGTTTATTTTGGGGGGGGGAGAACCTGGTCCCGGTTAAAAACCGGCCACAGGCAAAGCTTAGTGGCCCGTTAACCAGACCTAGTATTCGGCCAAATTTTACTATTCGGCCATACCTGGTATTTACCCTAATAGGCTTGAAGAGTTTGTATTATCAGTCACCAAATCTTAGCTTGTATTCAAAGAGAATACAAATATTAAATGACTTTACTCTTCTAAGTTAAAATTTTTGTCGTTATTCATACATATTAGGTGCTACTTGAAGCTAGGTCAGTGGCAAGAAAGCCTACAAGGAATTAATGAAAAATCTATTCCCATGATCCTCAAGTATTATTCTGCTGCTAGAGATTATGACACTAACTGGTACAAGGTGGGTGATGAATGTTTTTGTATCTTATAACTATTTACTTTTTGTATTTTCAAGTTGTTTACATTATGTTGTATATCTGACAGAGAAATTAGTGTCTTATATGGACTGCAACATGGAGAAGTATAGTAACGTACTAATATAATGTAATAAAATTATAAAAACTGTTTCACTAAAATACAATTTAATCATTATCAGAATTTTTAAAAGGCTTTAAATTTGAGTGATACATTAAAGCAGTCAGACTAAGTATTGATGTAATTGTTCATTATCTAGATTACACACTGGAATAGATAAGGTATTTCATTATCTAGGTGATATATTAAAGTAGCCAGACTAAGTACTAAATATAGTAGTTACTTTATCACAATTCGATCAGGGAAATTATTTACTTGTTTTTCTAGATTTTTCAAAATTTGCAGTGCATATATTGGAGGGATTTACACATTTGATAGAAAGTTTAGAAAAAACAACATTTATACTCCAGATATATATATATAAAAGAACTTTTTATTTTAACCCACATTTTACCTTTGTGGCTTCATCAGGGTTAATATATTTTACTCTACTGATACTTATTATTACTAATGTTTACACTGTTGTATATATATTACTGTAATGATAATTAAGATTACTGATGTTTATGCTGTCATATATTGTACTCTACTGACAAGTAAGGTTACTGATGTATTATGCTGTTATATATTTTATTCATTACCGAGTAACAATTTTCTTTTTATCTGCAAAGTTTTCAAAGCTATTAATACATTTTGTGACTCCTTAATAAAAATGAATTTTCTATTGAACATTACAGCATATACACATCATACAGAGAAGAACATTATTTTTGTAATTTAAAGGAAATATACTTTACTCTTACACCTCAGTGTCTTGTGCCCAAACTACCATTCATTTTGGTGCTTTTGAATTTAGAGGACCAAAGGAGAAATTATCATTATCAACTATCCATGATTTAAGTTAAAAATTGCTTTAAAATCCTATTTTGGTGAAATATTATATTCCTGCATAACAGACTTTACTTGTTCTAATGTAAATCCATTTACACCATAAGAGGACTGGATGTAGACAAAAAAGAAGAACAAACTATTTAATATCCATTAAAACACTGGAAGACCGTGATACAATTATCTAAAATTAACATTTCAAAAAAGAAGATTAATGTGTAACTAGGTCCAATTTGAACAAATGTTTGGACTGAGTAAACTGATAGCTACAATTTCAGGGTTTTAAAAATAAAATTTTAACTCAAAATATTGTGATACACAATTCTTAAGTAGACTGGAATCTTAACTTTTTTTTTCATAAGTTTAAATTCAGCCTGGGCCAACAGTGACAGCTTGTAAGCGTGATGCAAAAACATAAAATTTTCTTTGTAATTAGATGCCACAAATCTGTCTGTATGACAGTAAAATACTGTTTATGTAATAAATTAAACAAAAATGACTAATTTACTCTGGTGGCAATAACATTTATAAAAGGCAATTTTGAATGTACAGGGTGTCCCAGAAGTCTGGACCCATAGGGAGAATAGACATTCTTAATGTTAAACAAGCACATTTTTAATGTCAGTTGTACATATATCAGGAAAGAAAATACCCAGATGGCACAGTATGCCAAGAATTGATATGTGTTTGGCTGTTAATTGCATGTAATTTGAATAATAAATAAATGAAGAATAAATTGTGTATTTTTCCGTTTGGGTCCAGACTTTTGGGACACCCTGTATTTTAACCTCGATGATAAATGTAATACTGTTATGGCTTTTGTTTCATGTAATTAACACATCAATTAATATGCTCTTTTCATTTAAAAACTGGTAAAGTATTATCAACGTATCATGAATAAATCTGTTTAAAATTAACCTTTTTTGTTTGTTTTTATTGAGGTAAAACATTTAATAAAAACTGAAATGAAAACGTTATGTAGAAAAATATGTAAAACTCAATACAATTCCATCTATTTTATCATAAATTTCTTTATTAGAAATGACATTACACTACTCTATTGTAACTTTAATAAGTTTCTAACACTGATGTAACCCATTATACTGGACTGGCTTTCAAATACATGTTCTGTACAACAAAAACTATACTTCTTTATAAATGTATTGGTATATAAAGATTCAATGTCCAGACTAGCACTAAAAACATTATATGAATTATCAAAAACTATACTTCCTTATAAATGTATTGATATATAAAGATTCAGTGTACAGACTAGCACTAAAAACATTATCTGAATTATCAAAAACTATTCTTCCTTATAAATGTATTGGTATATAAAGATTCAATGTCCAGACTAGCACTAAAAACATTATTTGAATTATTTAAATCCTTAATAAATTATACAAGTTCAAAGCTTTTGTTAGTGGTATGTGGATAAGAATGTGATTTTAATACCTATTGAGTTAATTTGCCGTTGAACATGCTTATGATGAAAACTATTGGTCGTATTGGACATTTTTGTCTGACTATTTTGGGAACTCTGACTGAGGGCTTGCTAGACTTAAATTTTAAATGAATATCATTGCATTAATATTAACTTCTGATGTTCATCCAAGCATCCATCTTTCTGAAGTGTCTATGTAAGTTACTCAATTTTGTGTTTGTTGGATCTTTACTTCAGAAAGTTAATTTACTTGTTTCACCTAATATATTCTTGATCTTTGTGTAATTATTTATTTAGAATAACTGTACACTTCCCTTATCAAGTTGTATGATAATATTGTCATTACACAAAATTATTCTATAAGAATTGTTCATTCTTTTATTAGATAAATTATTTGGCCAATTTTAAATGGCCAAAGAATATATGGTAATGCAACTAATATTTGTTTTGATTTGTTCTAAATGTACATTATTTAAAGGCTAAGGTAGAATAGTTTCTTAAATTTTCTCTCAATATTTAACTTTTTAATGATCATGAGCAGAGTCCCTCAGTGAAAAAGCGGTATGTTTACAGACATATAAAAACTAAAATCCAGGGTTTGATTCCCCGCAGTTGACACAGCAGATAGTCTAATGTGACTTTGCTCTAAAAGGAGCAAATAAATCATGAATGGGACTGTTACACTTAAACCTTTTACTGAAATTAATTTTCATTTAGCTTATAATCAAGGTTACAAAAAATAACTTTATAACTGATCTTAAAAGAACTGTATGTTGTTTGCATTGCAGGTTGTGTAACTTGTGTTGTTTTAGATGAAGAAAATCAAGACACCTAACATAATTTTGTAACGTTTTTTTTTCAGTGATTAAGTATATTTTCTTCTGCTCACTTTTATATCTAACTTTAAGAATTGCTTTTTTGTTTTAACATATTATTGGTATCCTTTACACTTACACTTTACATTGAAACTTTACACTTAAACATGAAAGTGAAGATGCAATTGTATTTTATGATATTTCAAAATGTTTTCTTATAACTTAAAATTATCCCAAACAACTTTGCAATTTTGTAATTTTACGATTCAAAAAGCAAAGCCATCATATTTCTTCAGTCAACTAACTGATGGCCAAATATTTCTATAATTTTGCTCAGAAAAACTGAGTTCAAATACAGCTAATAATTTGTCTGAATATTTCAATTAAAGTTAACTCAATTTGTGCATTAATTGCATAATAGATAAAATACAAAGCAGAACTTCCTCCAGGCTTCATAGTTTTAAAGGACTCCTTATTTTGAAATCTTGAGAGTTTAAAGGATACATTTGGAATCCCTGTTCCCAGTGCTGTGAGATGGAGTATTTGAGGTAAAATGTATGTGGTGATGCTGATATCCACTGCAAGGGGGCAGTGTGATCTGATATTTAGTTATCTTTATTAGTTAAGGTGAAAGCATTTTAAATTAATTTTTCTTACTCTGAAACTTAAATGTTGTGGGTGTGGTGTGGCTTGGATGAATATTTATTGAATATTCTACTCATAGGTTTGTACAGTATTTTTAAAAAATGTTACATTTCTCTTTTATTTCTTGGAGTAAGTTAATCATATCAAGAACAGACACTAGAAAGAATAGTCCATGATGAAATTAGGTAATGTTTTTAATGTTGGAAGTAGCAGATTTGTAAATGAGAAATATCATGGGTTTAATAAATGAACACATTTAGCATAGGTTAATAAATAAATTCCTCTTGAGGTGCTTTTGAAGGCCATTAAGTATGGGCTTATGAGTTATAAACAAGGCCCTAAGCTCAATAGCTGTGACATTTGTTACATAATTAACATATGACTACATAATCATTGATTGACTGCATAATCTGAACTTCTAGACTTAGTAAAGCCAAGCATAGGTTAATATTACCAAAGTTATGACTTAGTTTGTTTCTTGTTACTTATAAGTAATGCTTACTGGTCAGATGGTCTGATTAATGGCCTGTCCAAAGGCTTCTGAAATCTCTAGTTGTGTTTGTTGTTGTTATTTTACAAAAAAAATAAAGGTAATAGATTACTGTATGTAATGAAATTGTCTGATGTCTTCCTAAATGTTATTATTAGCTGTTTCAACTTAAGAGTCGCATAATTTCAACTATTACCATATAATTGGAGCATGAATTTTATTTTTGTCTGCGAAATCAGCTATTTTTTCCACTTAAAGACAGGGCCCTATATAAAGGGCCTCGAATTGAAAATGAGAGTGACTATGTAAACCAGCAGTTAATAATGAAACCAATTTTATTCAGAAATAAAATGTTATATATATTCATACTTTAGATCCCCTGGTAAGCATTGAGACCATGAAAATGATACTGATGTTTTAAAGATACAGTTTGATTTAGAATTAATGAGGATAAATAAATATCCCTTTGTTCAGAGTTTTCTAAAAAAGGAAATTAATGTGCGAGTGTATCAGAAAAAGACGCATCAAATTATACAAAAAGGCTGAATAAACGAATGTGTGGATTTCAAACCCCATTCAAACTCTGACATACAAAAATGAGCCTAAAGACTGTGATACATCTATGGAAAATGAACATTTCAAAATAATAGCATAAGTTGATAAAGGATAAGGAATATAAAGTTAGATTACCAGTTATAGTACTTTGTAGAATATGTTTTAGGCTATCTTTTTTTAAGTTTAGATATTTGTACTGAAACCTTTTATGAAAGCTTAGGAAACAATTTACATAGTATTAGACAACAGTCAGGAGATGGATTTTTAATTATTGAGTTTGTTAGTATGTTACAGTGAGTCTGAAGTAGTGAAATATTATTTGATTGCTTTTATTATATTATTATGTTCATTGCTTTGATATTGAGTTGTGTTTCTACAAAGAAATAAAGATGTGAGAGAATTAAGTGAAATTTTTGTATTGACATCTACTGTGAACCTAGATCCATCAGTGAACATTAGTTAAGCTAGCTTCTAGAACTTCTTGTCGAAGAAGTAAAATGTTGACATCTTCTGTGAACCTAGATAGGTTCACAGTAGATGTCAACATTTTACTTCTTCGACTAGAAGTTCTAGAAGCTAGCTTAACTAATGTTCACTGATGGATCTAGGTTCACAGTAGATGTCAACATTTTACTTCTTCGACTAGAAGTTCTAGAAGCTAGCTTAACTAATGTTCACTGATGGAGATCCATCAGTGAACATTAGTTAAGCTAGCTTCCAGAACTTCTAGTTGAAGAAGTAAAATGTTTCAAAATATATAAGACTGGACTTTCCATTCTACCAACAATAGAAACTGTTTTAACAATATATTAGATTCTTTATACTTTGGATCTGTTCTCAAGGAATACTTAGGTTACAAAAGCACAACGTATTTTTTTCATTAGATCATTCTTATTGTGATATAAAGTTAATGCATATATCCTTAATTTGCCTATTTCATTTGAAGGGAATACTAGATTTGTATTCAAATATGTATTATTCATATGTAGCTATTTACCTGCAGTTGAGTTTTATTAGAATTGAAACACATTTCATTTATCAATTAATAATCTTCAAAGTTCTTTTTAAAATATGTTTGGAATTTAGTTAATGTAATTACTTCTTATGGGAATTCTGTGTTTTTTAGGCTTGGCATGCATGGGCTTACATGAACTTCGAAGCAGTTCTCTTCCATAAACAACAAGGCCAGCTACAGCTTGCAATGGGTGGTTCTAACCTGACCCCTGGGGACATCCCTCTTTTTACCTCTGATTCAAGCACATCATCTCCTTCAGGAACCCTGTCTAAGACTGGATTGGTAAGTTTTGAAAATATGCTTATTACATTATTTTTGAAGTTATCTCAACTAAATGTTAATTTTTTTTTAAATTGAAAGAAATATAGCTGAAAAATAATTATTCAAATGATCTTCTCCCTACACACTGCTGAGACTTCTTCACTGGTACACAGAGATATCTTCTTCATCACAGAAGCTCTCAACTGTCTCCTGGTTATAAAAAGCTTAAAAACAAAAATAAAACCTTGACCTTTAGCAAGTGATACAAAACAGAGATTAGTGAGAGGAACAGGATGGGCTCAGAAGAGGAGGATGCTTACATCAGCCTTTAGCATTAGCAACTATTGATGGTGAAAGAAATGCCATGCAGTAATAATCATTTGTGGTAAAGATATGTAGTATATGGTACTCAGAAAAACTTCTTAAAATAATGATTGTTGACATAAGTAGGAGTAGGACACTGCCTGTATGGGAGATATATATATACAGTAAAAGTCTTCAATTTATAAAAAGTGTTTCATTCACTGCACAGTTTTACACAGTTTGTTCTCTTATGGTAGATGCATCATCTCATGACATAGTTCAAGTGGAAAGACAAAATTTTTGTTTAATTTTATCTTTGTAACAACAGTGTTTGCAGCTCATACCATAAGAGATGTTGACACGTGACAATTACGTTTTCTTGGAAGAACATCAGTGAAAATTATTAATAAACAAATCAAATTTCTCACCTTTTTTGAGAAGAGAATCTTGGCTGGTCCGTGTAGTTTTAAACTTCGGCAGCAAGATGGCTGCAGCAATGAATTCTAGATTCTCCACCATGTTGGCAAACCGCTTCTGTAATCCTAACTTAAGGGAAGCTGCTAAGGAATGACACAGCTTTGCAGAATGGTAGACTTTATCAAGCCTAACATGTAGTTGATAGAGTGTAGGAAGCAGCCACCCCATATGAGGGAAAGTTTCAGACTGAAAGATGTTCAATGCCTTCATCACTGATTTTATCACTTTGTGATATTTTCTCAAGAACTCCAGCTCTACAGGACTTAACCTGAAGCAAGTGTTAAAATAATATACAGTTGTACGTATCAAAGTTGTGTAATACTTTTCCTTAGGCTTGTCAGTTCATTTGAAATCAGGACGAACAAATATTACTATTTAACAGTACGCCTTAATATACAGTTGAATTCTAAGTATGTACCATAGGCCTCACAGATCATTTGACAACAGGATTGGTAAACATTATTTTCTTACACTAAACCTTTGCATGTCCCACAGTTGAGTTTGAATAATAAAGGAATGGCAAAATATAGGACAAAAATAATATAAGTACAATGAAAAAGAGAAAGACCAGTCCAGCAATTTCAAAAGCAAGAAAATTATGAACTACTACTTACATTTTAATCTTGAATGCTAGACATATATTCCTTATGACATCTTCTACTTGCTTCTGCTTAACTATTTGTTTTCAGTAAAACTTTATATTTTTTCTGTTATTTTCTCTACCCTAACTTTATACAAGGTTGGTCAATTTGACTGACCTCGTAACCAACAAAAAAAAATTGAAATTACCCTCCTTTTCTTCCTAGAATGACTTCAAATGTAGTGAAACTACATTCGTTTATCCTAAGTAGCTTTAAACTTGTAACAGTATACATCTATTTATAATTAAATTTTATTATTTTATTGCCCTTTTGAATGCCTTTTGAACTGCGTCTAACTACTATTCACACCATTATAAGATGTAAATCACTTGGGGAATGTGCAGCTCATGTTACGCTATTGTATTACATTACCCACGAGCTACTCCAAGCTGCTCGCATGCATGCCTCGTGAAATATTATTATTGTTTATTTTACCAAATCTAACCTTAACTAATCTAAAGAGATATCTATTTTTTACATTTTAGTTACTTTTATAATATTAAATAAAGAATAAACATAAAAAAACATACTTAACCATACTTTTTTTATACTAATGGTAGTAGTTTATTAAATAATGCACCAAAGAAAATAGAATAATAACATGCAAAAAGCAGACAGTTCCCCTAACTATCATAATTTTTTGGCTTTCTAACTATGTGATAAGATACATTAAAAATTCAACTAAGCTTGTTGATATGTTTCCTGTGAAAATAAAGTTTGAAGTGGAAGCAAAATAGACAATTCTCTCTACACAAAAAAATTTAATATAATACATAATTTGATAGATTAACACTTTGTATTTCTATTGAGTATAATAATATAGTATTAAACATCAAAGAAAACTATTGGCAATTTCTGAAAGAGGGATGTGATAGATGGGCGTGGCAATATGGGTCTGATTGTCTATTTCATGACTATAACCAAATAACATTCAAGGGTATAAAAATTGTGCTTTGCTAGAATGATAATCATATTATAATGAGTAATTTACATTAAATTCCATACTTCTCAAAAGGGTGGAAAATAAATTAAATAAGATGAGATACCTGGAGAGCAAATGTCATAATTGTTTACCTTTTTCACAGATATGTAAAATTTTGTATTTTTTTTTCTAGATCAAATTGGTGTTTAGTTTCAGTAAGGTGAAATGCAAAGGTTGTATGCATTTTCCTTAATTTCCATCTTCTTGAGTGTTCTTTAATTCTCGTTTCTTTGGAATGGCCTGTTTGACCTATATGTATACACACACTATTGCAGTATTGACTAACTAATTGCTAAACACCACTGTTGCTGTTTTTTTTTTTATCCTGTCTTTGTTGTTGCACAACATTTTTCCTAGGTTGTTTTTACAGTATACCAGCCTTCAAAACAGTTTTCTATTATTATTTTATTTCAAAACATAACAGGTCCAATTTTTTCTTACGTTATTTCACTAAATTACATGAATAATAATGAAATGTTGACTTTTATTATTTATACTTAATTTCCAATTAAACTGATAATTTTCAAGTATTTAGGGAAAGTATCTATGGGTTTAAACTTCAAGAAATAATTTTTGATTATATATTAAAAACTAATAAAAACACGTACTATATATTATAGGATATTATAAATATATAATATATATATATAGTTTTTAGACTTGCCCCCATGTGCTTGTGTAGATTTGTTGGTGATGTAATACAAGTCACCACATCAACCATTTTGTGCAAACACTGTAGGCAGACAGAAGTTCCTACCATTGTCTTGAACCTAAGTTTGCCCAGCACCCGCAGAGTTGGAGGTAGAGTCAGTCGCTTTCACATCTGACATCTTTAACTACCCAAACAAAGTGAACAAGACACGAGCCATGGGTGTGACATTAATTATCAGCTGACAAAACTGAATGATCATGATTGGATACTTTAAATTCCCTTACTTTCAACATCCTCTGATTGGTTCCTTTATCTATGGGCATTTTCCAAATTTTTTTGTACCTTACAGATTTCGGCAAAATTGTAGTTAAGTTTAAGCATAATATTTTCTCCTAAAAGTGTATTTAAGTTAGAGCAAAAGTATTTAAAAATAAAAGTACATTCTAAAAAGTTGATGTGAGAAATAATACTTAAGTATAATTACTTAACTAATTTACACCTCTGAGTGTAATACAGTTAAACCTTCATGTTTTTGTTAAGTCAACACACTTGAATGACTTGCACATAACATTAGATATATTCATGCAGGACTTGATTCATCAATCAGTATACATCAACTGTTTCATTAGCAAGTTTTAAATTTTTCTTAATTGATAGTTAGATTGTCTTAGCTTTTGTAAGAAATGAAGTTGGAATAATGTTTACTTCAACCATTTCCATAACAAAGGAATATTAAAAAATTTATTCTTATCATTTTTTGTGATCCTAAGCTAATTTTGACATCCTACACAGATATACGATTTTAACTCTTTTAAAACTTAAACATCTAAAAATTAAAATAATACTTCATTTTTGCATTATTATTATTATTATGTCATTATTTTATTTACTGGAAGATAAGAGTCATTTTATTCACAAAATGTTTAATTGGCTCTAACATTTCATTTTAGTAGGATAATACCAAAATATAGTGCTGAGTACTGAGGAGAAGAAAATAGTGATGAGTTTTAAAATGGCCTGGTCAAAATACTGATACTAATAAATACAAAAAATTGTTACATTAGTTGAAAAAAATATTGTTAGGAAAAGAGAATCCATCTAATTTATGGTAACTTTAGGAGAATGTTCATTAAAAATAGAAAGAATTACAAGGTGATAGTATAAGAGTGGTTGTATCCATGTCTGATAGTTGTTGTCATATAACTAAGGCTAAAAGTGCTCATTATTCATTTCATTATATTACAGAATTAACTTTGTAATAATGAGTGTAAATTCAACATGTAAACCAAAACAATACTTTCCTTTTTTTTCTATCTTTCATGAAACTTTAAATTTGATGCTTAATAATTTTGTCTTATATATAAATATCCTTGATGTTTCAAAACTGATTAAAACACTGACACCAAGTTTATATTTTCTAGACAAGCCAACATGTCCATGACTACACTGTTCCAGCAGTCCGAGGATTTTTCAGGTCTATTGCTCTGTCTCATGGAAGTTCTCTTCAGGATGCTCTCAGGTGAGGCATAATCAGTCAGGGTTTTGGGCTCACTCCTTGGATATTTCAGCTTATGGTGTAATTTGTTTATAATTTTCTGCATCTGTTTCATTAAGTAGACATATAAACTTATTGATATTAGTGTTGTTGCTTTTTTTTCTGGAACATAGTGACCTTACTTGTTAAGAAAAAAGTTTTGTAGTTTAGATAATTTGCTGAAAATATTTACAATGAATAAAAGTGTTTGTACAGATGCTCAAAAGTACTTAAAGTTTCCTTAACTCTTTCAGCACAGGCTTGGTCCCAGGAACCGGCCTTGTAACCATTTTGTACTTATTATAGTTTTCATGCTATAACTTTTAAATTAGTAAGTGAATGTT